TGGGACAGTCTATTTTAAATCTGTTGATGTTAATGCTTTTCTCCATTGTGTTCTCTTGTTTGTGGAACAAAAGCCAGCCTAACTCCCTGTGTTTCACTTAATTTTCTTTTTTTTTGGTACCGGGGATTGAACTTGGGACCTTACGCTTGCGAGGCAGGCAGTGGAACCACTGAGCTAAATCGCCAGCCCTTCACTTAATTTCCTTTTTGGTCCATGTTGCTTTACTCTTCAGGGTTTCAGGTAGGAATAATATTTATAACATTCATAAATTCATTCTCACACACCTTCCTCCATACTCTGGTTCTTTGGCCAGAGTTCTTTTCCTGTACTGCTTAGCAGTGGGTAAAGACTATTGAAGAATGGCTTGGAGCAGTGGCAGGAGGCTGAGATGAGAGGATCACAAATTTGAGGCCATCCTTTCTCAAAATAAAATTTAGGATGAGGGATATAGCTCAGTGGTAGATGCCCTGGTTTAATCCTCAGTACCACAACAACAAAGTACAGTGTTGAAGAGTAGAAAGAGTTCAGATCTCATAATGTTTTTGAAAAATCTTGAGCCAGGTTTGGTGACACACACCTGTAATCCCAGCACTCGGGGTGCTGAGGCAGGAGGATTGCCATGAGTTCAAGGCCAGCTTGGGCTGCATAGCAAGACCCTGTCTCAAAAGACAAAAAGAGAATTAATTAAAAGTAAAAATCTTTTACTTAGAAGAATAAAGACAAAAGCCAAGATCTATAGAAATATATAATTTAATCATTCCTTTTGGAGCAGAACACATTTTAAACTATGCCCAATAACATACTAACAATGATGGTTGGCAGAAACATTTACCAGTATCAGTTCTGTTATCTCAGAGCCAATGAACTGTTGTCTGGTGATGGTTTACTTAGGCATACTATGTGTTAAAGGCTTTATTTTTTATAAGTTATAAATTATGATCTGTTTATGTTCTATATTACATTTCATTTCAAATAATAAGATGGTATAACTTACAGTAAGAAAAAATATGGCAAAGTAGATGAAATCAAAAGTTCTTAGAAAATAGAATTTATCAAAACTTATACAAGACACAGAATATCTGAATAATCATATTTTTAAATGAATTAAATTTGTAATTAAAATCTTTCCACAAGGAAAACAGCTTCATCAGTGAAGTCTACCAGATATTTGAGGAATAGTGCCAATTTTATCAGCCTTATACCCAGACTCACATTCTGCTGTTTACCTTTTATCTCAGAAGAGAGAGCATTTATATAACTCTAGAGAGCCTAATAGCTTAAAGAAACTTGGGACATTTCACACTTTGCAATTTAAAACATACAAAGGATCTTAACATAAAGAGTTGTTTTCAAAAGAAAGGCAAGTGTTTAAGTTTTATTCTGTTAAGTCCTTTAAAAATCTTTACTGGCTCTGGCTATTGATAAAGAATCACTCAAACAGGAAGTTTTCAAAAACTTCCTCTAAATGTTAATTTTCAGCTACAGTATCTATATCTGTCATCATTTCCTGAGATCATGAGAGCTGTCAACACCCCTAGTGGAAAGCTCTGGGAAGCCATTGTATGTTTCTGCATTTTCTCCCTTTTTGTTTGAATACTTAAAATATCTGTGAGAAGAGAATCCATGTAGTGTAAGATTGATTTATAAACACTACACCCTTTCATTTAAATGAAGTCTTTTCTGGGGCCAGGGATTTAGCTCAGTGGTTTCACTGCCTGCTGCGCAAGCACGTGGACCCGAGTTTGATCCCCAGTACCAAAAAAACAAAAAACAACGAAGTCTTTTCTCCTGTTTTAAACAAAACATGGAGAGCAAAGCATGGCTCCTGGTTGAGTAAGTCTGTACGAGAGGGGAAAACATATGTGTTTTTTCTGTGCTACAGTGTGGCAAGAAGTATGCAGTTGTGGAGGCCATCATCCTGTCATACTTATTTCACTCAAGAATTTTGCATGATGCCAAGAGACTGATTGGAAAATCCTCACTTCACTGTGTGCATGTTGAGGTTCTGGCAACAAGACACACACAGCTGCCAATGCCTACAGGATAATGAGACATTCAAGAGCATGAGATAGGGGACAGCAGACTAGCAAAAGCTGTGACTGCATTAAAGTCACATCCCCCACAGTGTGACATTCTGTTTACTTTTTTCTAGAATTTTTTTTTTGTGGTCAAAATAGACTAAAGAAGTAGTGAACCTTCTTTTTTTATTCCTACGCTCCAAGCATTTTACACAGTGGTATTTAATTTCTTTGTCTCAGCATTAAATTTCTCGGTGTCTAACAATTCATGTCATTATGTGACGGGAGATTGGATAGTGTGGTACCAAGAACTTCTTGTACTAATGAAGACTTGATGGAACTAATGCTAAGAGAAAATAATCTATGAATCTATATATTTGAAAAATTTTCCAAGGGTAGCAGGATTTCTCTGAAGCAAAGTCTATGTTGAGCATTTTGAACTACTGAGGTATATTTTGTTTTGTGTGTTTTCTTTCAAATCTAGAATCAGAAAGCTATAAGTCATCTTGAAAAAGTGATTTCCAATAACAGTACTGGTTTAACCTAGCACATGTAAGACAGGTGAATGTATTCTAAATTGGGAGTGACCACCTGGAAATAGAATTATTGGTAGACAGACTTTTTCCAGAAAGTTAACTGGATAACTGGTTTTTTTTTTTTTGGTACCGGGGATCGAACTCAGGGCCTCACACTTGCCAGACAGGCACTGTGCCGCTGAGCTAAATCCCTGGCCCCAGATAACATTTTGTTAAGAAGACTCCCTACGATGCCTACTCTGCCCCTTTTGCAGTAATAACTGTGTTGTTGAAGGGAAGGAATTAAAAGAGATGAATATTTTCTAATTTACTACATTTACTTTCCTGGAATGTAATAAACAGATTTCTGCTGAATTTTGCCACTTGAGAATACTCAAAATGAGGATGATTGACACAGATCCCCCACAGAGACGTTGTAGAGTTCCTGTTTTCTAGACATTAGTGAATGATTCAGATGTCTTTAGGTCAGCTACTGTTGATACCTCAGCTACTAGCCCAGATGTGGTCTGAGTGGCAGGGGCATGCTAGCATCCCAAACTGTTCTGTAGCTGGCTGAGATTAGCAGAAATTGATAGACCTGTTGTCTCTTCTCTCAAACCAAGAAGGGGCAAGAGGATTACTGCTATGTCAGAAATCTCCTTTTAGGAAACAATAATAAAAACCTGGCTGCCATTTTTGTTTGTTTGTTTGGATTTTTTTGTTGTCGGTGATTGTGTTTTTTTTCCCTTTGTGCATTAACAGTAGGATTTTGGGGGTAATATTTCTAGTTGTTTATATTCATTATTGGAAAATAGAATGACACCTAGCCCAAAAATCTTCATAATGTTCCTCACAGAAGGTATTTAGATGATAATGGATGTGCACATGTAGACAAGTGGATGAACATCAGTGAGATGCCAGCCAAGATGAAAACACAGATTGAAAACCTACCAGAAGGCTAAAGTTATTCTTTGAGTAGTGACAGGGACCTTGGTCACTACAAAAAAACCCAAACATGGGCCGGGGATTTAGCTCAGTGGTTTCGCCGCCTGCTGCGCAAGTGCAAGGACGCAAGTTGGATCCCCGGTACCAAAAAAAAACCCCAAAACCAAACATGTCAAAGTTATGTGGGCTCAGCAGTGTAATAAAGTGTCATTAAAACTTCCATACTTTGTGATTAGAAACCACTGAAGGGATCCCTGCCTCCTGAAAAAATAGCTAAAGTCGAGTTTGTACATGACCATTATTTAGGATTTGTTGATTCCTTCATGGAAGCCAGTAACGATGTATATGTCCTATTCAACAACTTGAGATGACTTCTCTCAAACCATGATCCTGAGGGACTAATTTACTGGAGTAGATTTAAGCCCCTTGTAAAACAGACCCATATGAATGGAAGAACAGGTATGTACTGAACAAAGAAGCCTCTAAGAGATTTGTTACTGGAATTACAGCAATTATGGTCCCTCAGTAGGCCATAGTTGCTGTTCTGATCTTATAGCTTATTTTCATGACCTTACAATAGAGTATAAATTAGACTTCCTTTTGTATTACCTTCCCTCGTGTGGTTAGATTACCAATCTGTCTTACTGAAAAACCAGTGGAACAAATGAAGTGGTCAAGAATGCAGATCCAAAGATAAAAGGTCTAACATTGAACTAATTGATTTGCACTAATGAACTTCTGGATTTCCAGTAGATCACACTGTGGACTTCTTTGTATGTCTGACTATTCCATACTTAAAGTCTTAATATAAATGGCTGTAAACCATATTTTTAACATGAGTTGTAAAGCCTGCTAAAATGTATTTTTAATACAGTAATGAAAATTTTATTTTTCTCTTTTTTTGTTCGTACCGGGGATCGAACTCGGGTCCTTATGCTTGCGCAGCAGGCCGTAAAACCACTGAGCTAAATCCTTGGCCCCAAAATTTTATTTTTAAATGATTGTCAGGAGTACCAAAGAGATGGTGTCCTGTTCCTATTTCTATTGATATTTCTGTATAAAGAAAACAGTTACCTTTGCTAGAATTACATTGGACTTTGTTAATTTCAAGATACTGAACTGCCTTTTAAAGAAAAGTTTTGAAGGAAATTGTGTTAGTTATCACTGTTTAAGATGTAAGTTCGAATACCTAGTGTAACATATGAACCTAATTCCCCCCCATATAACACACGGTGTTTGTCTCCTGAAGTTTTGTGGTTCTTATTTATAATTAACATTGCCTTTTCTAGAACTAGAATTAGAATAATACTTGCTTTAAGATGAATAAAACCACATTTTGAAATCACTATAGGTCTTAATTATATTACATATTTGATTCTAATTAGTGGTTGTTAGGATTAATAGTGTTAGATAGGAAGAAGGTTCTTTGAGTCAGATACTTAATAAATAGAGAGCACTTTTTTCATTTTCCTTCGTTGAGCATAGTTGTCCTTGGCACTAACTTGCATTTTTGTTTTTGTAGTCTCTTGTTTTCAGCAGCCACTGTAATGCAGTGAGTGGCTACTCAGACCAGGTCATCCATCAGCGGAGATCAGCTACCTCCTCACTTCGTTGCTGCCTGCTCACTAAGCTGCCATCTTTTTTGTGTGTGGCCAGTCCACGAGTAAGTGCCACAGGAGGGAAGAAATGAAGTAAACCAATTTTCAAGGGATCTATTTTTTAAACAAAACTGTTCTAAGCTATTTGCACCTTGAGATACATATAAACCTTAGTATTTAAAAAGGACAAGTCTAGAAGTGTAGCTTAGTAGTAGAGCCCTTGCCTAGTTTGTGCAAGGCCCTAGGTTCAAGTCTCCAGCATTGCAGAATTAAGTGTGTGTGCATGGAGGGGGCAAGGTGGGCATATCCATGGCCCTGGCCTTCTCAAGACAGCACTTCCTCACCTTGAATTGCATGGTTTTGAGAGTAGCTGTGTGGTAGACAGCTTCTTCTTGTTTAATCAGGGCTCTAAACTACAAAGGGAGCAAGCCATCTGTTAGGTGGATTATCACCAACAGTAGGATCCGGGAGAGGGAGCCCTTTGTCACCTGCATTGAGGTTTTTTAGGGTTTTCAGAGGAAGGGGCCCTATTATGGGGAGATTTGATCTGGCCTCAGCATAATTTGATCTCACCTCAGCTCAGTCCCTGTGTAACAAAAGGAAACATAACGCTTCAGCACCAAGCCATTTCTGTCTGGTATTTCCTCGCATCATAAGCAGTCTCACCTGGACTGTGGCTCACAGGTCTTCTCTATCTGAAAAGTGACTGTTGCATCTTGTTCACCATTCAGCAGCCACACACTTATTTGCAGAGCGGGGTAGTTTCTGTTCTGCGCTGCTGCCTGGACCCTTCTAATACCCTGTTTAACAAAACAGTACTGACAAGTGTCTCTGCAGCAAAGGCTTCCACTGGCTTGTGGGGTTGTTTATTTTCCCTCCATCTTCCCCTTCCTTTCCTCTCCTTGTTGATCAGAGCCAGACAGAAGCTATCTTCTTCCATCCATAGAGAAGTGACTGAAAGAAGAGAGGCAGAATAGAGATACAACCAGACTCAGTAATTAGAGAAAAAAATGAATTTTTCTCTTCCCAGCTGGTTTCCTTTTGCTCCAAGGGACATCTTTCATGCAGCCAGGGCCTCCGTAAGGCTGGCATTTCTTACCTTCTGTGTTTTCATCTTGTTTCTCCTTTCATCCTAACAAATCTATTTTCAGAGTTTTGTTCAGAGAAGTCACCTTTTCAGTCTTCCTTAGAAATATTTTTCTGCCATTATTTTTGTCAGGTTTCAACCCAGGCATGCGCCCCCAGCACTCAGGAGGCTGAGGCAGGAGGAAAACTGTCAAGTTGAGACGAACCTGGGCTACATAGTTCACAGCCAGTCTGGACTACAAAGTGAGACCCTGTCTTTAAAAACAAAAAAACAAACAAACACTTGCAGAGGACCCAGAGAAAGATAATACAGGAAAATGAAATGAGGTAGTGAGTCCCATTGACTCCTCCCTGCCTAGATTTCTTGCTGCTGGTCCTGCACTGTGTGAACTTAATTCCCTTGCCACTGTCAGCTTGTTGGTTTATATTAGCTATCTAGAAAGAATTTGGATTTTGCGTGTGTTCTGTTCTTTCAAAGCATTTTTTGGTATTGATGCAGGGAAATGGTCTTTTTCTAGAAAGCATCTAAAGCCAAGTGTTTCCATACATGGCAACCTCTGAGCCTCATAGTTGCATGATTGTTTTTCTCCTCGCTCTTAATCTGATCACTGTATACCAAGTGGCCTAATAGAGGAAGTTTAGTTTTCTGGGAGAAGGATATCAAGACTCTTCACTTCTAGCCCCAGTGTTTATAGAGCCAATAGAAGTGAGCTTTCTTGGCCTATAATTGCATTTATGGGCATAAAAATTCCTCGTTAGCAGTTGAAGCTCTCAATGCCTCTATAACCAACAACTCTCAAGAATAACCCCACTTTGCTCACGTACTCATACGTGCATAGCCCAGCTGTTCTGCTTCAGTATTGTTTTCAGAGGAGCCAGACAGAAGTCTTGAGCTTACCATGTCAGGTGCTGCTATTTCCCTAAAGAACCGTAAATGTATCTTGAAGAAAACTATGAATAGTTGTGAATATGTGGCCTTAAGCAGGGAGCAGGAGAAAGCTTTTAGCCTTTGGCTAAGAGGCTGCGCCCAAGCCCCCTCATTTCCTACTCAGCCCCTCTGTTTGTGAATAGGGTTTCATAACTTAGCATGTGCTGAACCTGAAAATGAGAGTAGTTACACTATGCTTGTAAAGATAGGAAGAATTCAGAACATGTCTGGATACTTCATGTACACAATACACAGCTGTTACCTTTCAGATCAATCCTATAGTGTGAGTAAAGCAACATTTCATGAAATACTTTGATCTTCTGTTGACTTCTAACCTATCTGTATGGGAAGAGAGAAGTTCATTTCCTATGAAACCTCAAAACTAGGCTTGAATTAAGAGAAAGTAATTTCCCCAGCATATGCTATGAAAATTTTAGGGTCAGTTTCAGAATAATTGTGTCACTAAGGAAGAAATTATAGGAGCTGTTTCATCAAAAGCTGAGACGATGTTTCTACAGGGTTAATAAACTAAGACCTTGGAATTCATCTTACCAAAAAATGAAAATGCTTGGAGCAGTCACGCTTCCCAGAGCTAGAGCAGGAACGAACATGTTCTCAGAAAGGACGCGCTGAATGCTTGAGGATTGCCCCCTTGAGGTACTATAGTTTAGGAGGTTAATGAACCAAGAAGCAGGGCTTGGGTCATGTGAGACTGGAGGGAGTGCATTTCCATTTGTGGGAAGAGAAGAATGGTATATCATGCTTCATCTCTCCTCTGAACCACCGGGAAGGGCACTTGGTGTTAGCACAGTGGGTGAGGGTGTCTAGAATGGAGTTGTCTGGAAGCAGGGTTTATTCTAAATAGAAATGGACTTTTTGCCCTCGTTTGGACCTCACAAGTATACTGCTTACATGCTTACAACATGACAGTCTATACTTCTGCATATATCTTGATCCAGGGCTCCTGGCCAAAGAAGCTTATCAAAACATTAAAAAATACTTCACTGAACTGTGCCTTAAATTCAGGCCTGGACTTGGAAAGATACCAGCAAAGTGAAAATTGAAAATTAGGTGAAAGGCCGGGGATTTAGCTCAGTGGTTCCAGTGCCTGCCTCACAAGCGTAAGGTCCCAAGTTTGATCCCTGGTACCCACCTCCCCCCCAAAAAAAAGAAAATTAGGTGAAAGTTTATAATGGGGGAAAAAAGTTGTTTTATTTTTAAACTGTAAGAATGCTTAGAAATGAGGCCTAGGTAGAAACACATTCTTCCTCTGGTCTTCTTCCTGTTTCTTCATGCTGAGTTTCTGGCTTTTGACTTTCATCTTGAGAATATGAGCCCATATTTTATGGATCAGTCAAGCTGACTTCTGCTTTTTGCCAGCAAAGAAAAGCATGTTTCTTTGAGTGTAAAATTGGTCCTAGTCAATCTCTCATTAGAAAAGACTATGCTCATCCAAGAGTACACATGCCTTTTGAGATACATAAAGCTGGTTATATTTTTGAAGTCTAAACCACTGTTTCTTTAACCATTTTTATAGAAGTTTAAATATTGTGGGTTGTGAGGTTATGGGACTCACCTTCTATATTGGAGATGTCTGCTCTGGCCCAGGGTTTGGTGGGGTGCTGCCAGGACAATTCAGAGCAGGGAAAGCTCGGGATTTTACCCACCTGCTTTATATTTCAGGGTGTCTTTACCTGTGCTCACATATCAGTTGGAAAAACAAGTGAGTTGGAAGCAAGAAAACAGACTCCTTCTGGAAAGGATAAAGGAGCTAAGAGCTGCTATACTGTAGGATGAACTGATTCCTAAAATGAACCTGAGTGGATTTAGAACTCTTGAGTCCAGTTTGCCGTGGCCCTTTGTAATTTTGTATCTGGACTATAGGTGGCACTGCCTCCCAGCAAACTCAGTTCAACTGTTTCTGCAAGGAAAAGTACTTTGTTTTCTGGTTATTGATAAATGTTCTTTCTCTGATCTGGTTTCCAGCAGAGTTATCTGGAGCTACATGTTCAGCTAGTTTACTGGTTATATCCCCAAGACAGTATTTCTCAATACTTGGCTTGATGCTGGGCTGTCTTTTTTGTTTTTTTGTTTTTGGTACTGGGGATCCAACTCAGGACTTTGCACTTTCAAGGCAGGCAACGGCACCACTCAGCTAAATCCCCAGCCCCCGGGATGCTTTTTAAGAACCTAGGACTATTGGCCTCTCCCTCAGCACTTCTGTATTAAAATATATACTTTATGGGCCTAGGATTTAGCTCAATGGTACAGTGCCTGCCTTGAAAGCACAAGGTCCTGAGTTTGATCCCCAGTAGCAAAAACCAAACCAAACCAAAAAAAAAAAAAAATACACACACACACACACACACTCTCACACACTCACACACTTTTCATCTTCTCCCAGCTATGTTCTTATCCATATTAAAATTTGAGAACCACTGTCCTAAAGATCGAATGATATGGCTGGGCGTGGTGTCGCACACCTGTAATCCCAAAATTTGGGAGGCTGAGACAGGAGGATTGCTGTGAATTTGAGGTCACCATGGGCTACATAGTGAGTTCAAACCCAGCCTGAACTGCATAACAAGACCTTGTCTGAAAAAAAGAAAACAGTTGATTGACATGAAAATATAAGTTAATAGCAAGATAGATTTTTCCTGTTTAACTTCCATAATAGAACTACCTAACTAGATACAACCAGTGTTTTATGTTCTGATCTCTTATTCCTTTGTCCTTGCTCTTTATACCCAGTTTCTCCTCATCTCTTAGTCTACCTCCAAAGTTCTTCTGAACAATTTACTGCTTGTAATGGGCTTTCAGTATTTTTGTCATCTGAGCTTGACAGATTGTCACCACCTTTACACTTTAACAAAGGACAACCTTGTCATCTTCCATAGGCTCCTTATCAGATGATTTCTCAGCCAGCTGAATACATAGCTGCTTGGTAGATTGGGAAGAGACACAGACAGCTGAAGAAGGATGACACCATGTCTCGTATTGGTTAGGAGCCCCCTACTTCACCAAGAGTACAGCATCTTACATTATTGAGTTGTTGTGCTTTGTGATGAGATTAAGAATGCTGCAGTCTCTGCTTCAGCCAGGAGATGCATCTGTTGCTTCCCTCCTGTCCCCTACCCTCTCAATTCCCAGTTTCCCCAACTTAGCACTCAGAAGAAGGTTCCCTTATCTCCCATTAGGTTTGTCAGTTAGAAAACCTGGTGAGGGAGAAGGAGAAAGGAATATTGGAAATCTTGGTAGCTTTGCCACAGAAGCATTAGATTGCTTCATATGTGCCAAACCAATACTGTTCATTCTTCTAGCATTATCATCATGTGTATGGCTAATAGCACTTAGCCAAGAATACTATCTAGCAGTGAACAGGGTGGGCAAGTGATGGGAGGTATGTGTGTGTGTGTCTGTGTATGCATGTATATTATTCCTGACCTTGTATCCTGGTTTATCTGCATCCTGCACTTTTCTTTGTACCTTTAGTTTGTTTGAAGGTTCATGTTATTGGAAGTTGGCCTATACCTGGAAAAGCTCACTTTATGAACAACTTAGTTTGTCAGAATAGAGTAGTATTTGAAACTAGTTGTCTAAGAATTATCCGTAGCAGTCTGATTCCAAAGTTAGTCTGATTCCAAAAGGCTTAGTGTGTACGTAAAAATGTAAAAGAGCCCTTTCTGTGGCTCATTGCAGGTCACCGCAGTGCCATTGGATTCTTATTGCAATGACCGAAGTGCAGAATACGAGCGGCGAGTTCTGAAGGAAGGAGGGAGTCTGGCAGCCAAGCAGTGTTTGTTGAAAGGGTCCCCTGAACTGGCCACAGACTGGCAAAATCGCCGATTCCAGTTCTTCCCAGAGCACCCTGGAGGACTATGGAGCATCCAGCCCCAGAATGGCTGGTCTTTCATCAGGATTCCAGGTGAGTTCTCTATTCTCTCAGGATGTTTCCAGCCTTGGCAAGGAGATTGCAAGGGAGATACTCCCATGTGGTTGTTTCATATATTTGGAATTTGGAGTTCTGTAAGTTTCCGTTTTGTTTTTTACCTTAGTAATTTATAAGTAAAAATACTAGTAATTTGTGTCTTGAATGTAGCAATAAGCACTGTGGGATTTCTGTTTAAATATTCTCCTCTGACAAGGAGAAAGGAATGCTACTCTTTAAAAACAGGAGGATGGGGGGGGCCAGGGATTTAGTTCAGTGGTTCCGGCGCCTGCCTCACAAGCGCAGGGTCCCAAGATCAATCCCCGGTACCAAAAAAAAAAATAGGATGGGGAGTATGGGGTGGGGTGTAGCTCATATGCTTAGTGTGGGCCAGGCCCTGGCTTCCATGGCTTCCATCTCCAGAACCAGAAAATGAGAGAGTGAAAGAGAGAGGGAGGGAGGGAAAAAAACATGGTAGGAAAGGCTTCAGGTCGAATGAGTACAGTTGTTTTGTGCCACTGCCAGTGGAATGAATTAGAATGTCACTCCCAGAAAGCCTGGTTTAAGTAGCATAAACAGTGTCCTGCACAGAGCACTACAGATTTGAATGATAACAAGAGGAAAAACAGTGTGTTTTGTGCCAGAATGCTAGCAGATTCCCAGACCCCCTTGGGTCAAGGACTAGGATTGAAAGGAAACTTAGGTTTCATCTTTGCTTTAGAGAGACTGCATTTGAGGAAGTTGAATACAGAGTTTATAGGCTGATGTTCTTAACACCTGCTGGCAAGCTACAGCAGTAACTTGGAACTACAGTGTAAGTTTTGATTGCCCAAAGTTTTAATTGCCCAAGTTCTCTGATAACTGATTATATTCAGTTTATTGACATGCAGTGGAAGTAAACTTGAGCTAAGGCTTCAAAAGAGAACATCTGCTTTTATTTATTTTTTCAATTTTTTGTTTTTTTGGAAAGGTTTTACTATGTAGTCACATGGTTGGCCTTAAACTTACTATGTCCCTCAGACTGGCCTTGAGCTCAGCCTCCCAGGTTCTGGAATTATAGGTATACACTACCTCATCTGGCTTAGCATCTGCTGTTTCTATGAGATAACTGGATTCCAGTGCTAAAGGCCTCATTTTTCCTTTATTTATTTTGTTGTTGTTGTTGTTTATTTTTTGAGACAGGGTGTCACTGTGTAGTTCAGGTTGGCTTTGAACTCAACCATGTAGTTCAGGCTGGCTTCGAACTCATGACAGTCCTCCTGCCTCAGCCTCTCAAGTGCTGGGATTACAGGGATGCTCCGCTATACCCAGCATTTGTTTTTCCATTTAGTGTTACCTTTGTCAAATGACAAGGGGCCTCGTGTCAGCCTGTTAGTAGCTTTGGAGGTGGTTTGACTAGAAGATGCCATTTTGATATGGGAAAGCAGTATTATGTGTGGCCTCAGAGCTGACTTAGAACACATGAATCCAGTAGGTGATTGTGTGTGTGTATATATATATATATATATAT